AAATACGTTGCCAAAACAATAAAATATGAGTTAAGAAAAAGCACAATTATTAATTTTGTAAACACAAAAACATTAGTTGAAGCAACTTTGCTCCTAAACTTGAAATTATAAGTTATCCATCAGAACCTAAAAACATAAATGCAGTGGGTTGCCTTGAGTTTTTAAGTTTTCGCAACGTTTTTTTTTTTTTACAGTGTAGAAACAAAGAAAAAAAGAGAAGTGACCAAGTATTTTAAGAAGTTGGCATGGTTTCTTGTTAAAATAAAGTTGGTTCAGGGTTTCAACTATCAGTGATGATGATCAGTTCCTTATTTTATTTTTTTTCTTTAACAAAGCACATACATCTTGATCAGTGACCAGAAGGAAACATTTGTTTGAGTGAGACAAAGTGGAACATGTTACTAATGCTGAACACAACTTTACAAACTTTAAAAACCTAAACAAGCAAACTATACAAATGTTTGCTTGTGTTTGTTCTGTCAGCTAACCAAAGAAAACAACCAAATCCCCGTGACAATGTTCTTAAGTGTTTAAGTGCCAAAAATAGAATCTTTTAACTTCTGCTTCTTTTTCACACACAAAAAAAACAGGCATCATCTATTTCAAATTTGTAAATTAGTCTCATTTCCTCTTCATGTGCTCGAAGAGAAAACCACCCTTGATGAGAGATACTATGACCAACACTCCACATACTTGTTCTAGCACCACAGGGCCTGTTTGGTTCAAGGTTCAAGGTTCAAGGAGCTTTATTGTTATTCGCATCACATGTTTACATGAGGTGGAACGAAATTACATACACACAGTCCCGGAGCAAAAAGAAACAGAATTTTAAAAAGTAGATAAATAAATACATTTACATTACATATAAATACTTTAGCAGCAAAAGGGCATGATTACCAGCATTCATAAAGTGATGGTGTCAGTAAGTTCCAGTAGTGATTAGGTGCTACAATAACAGTTCTTGTCCATTATGCATTGAGAAGTCTCACAGCTTCTGGAGTGAAGCTGTTTCTCAGTCTGGTAGTTTTACATTTAATGCTTCTCAGCCCCCTGCCTGAGGGGAGTGGGACAAAAAGTGAGTGTGCTGGGTGAATGGGGTCCATGATACAGGTGGCCCTCTTCCTGCATCTGGAGGTGTAAATGTCTGTGACGGTTGGGAGGCTGACAACTCTCAACAGCCTTCACCACCCTAGCCGAGCTGATCGGCGTAGTTCCTTAAAACCCGCCCGGGGATGTTATCTGGGCCAGCAGCTTTGCAGGGATTAATCCTCTTGAGGGTCCTCTTCACTTCAGCTGCGGTCACGCTGAGGGTTTCTTCATCTGGTGGTGGGGAGAGTCTGATGCTGGTTGGGGGCGTGTTAGGGTCCTCAAAGCAAGCATAGAACCGGTTGAGATCCTCATGCAGAGATTGATCCCTAGGTCACTGTGTATCCCTGGTTTTGTAGTTGGTGATGCATTTGATACCCCTCCACATACTGGGTGGATCCCGGGAAGAAAGATGACCCTGAATCCTACATGCATATGTGGCTTTGCAGTAAAGAGTCTCCGTCACTGGGCCACACAGTGATGATTTTCTGTGGGTTTGGAGCATCATAGTGGGGGGATGGTAGACAGGGACCAGCATAATGCCGTTACCTCTTCACTCATCACAATCCAATATCTTCTTGTTGATCTCTTTTGCTGATTGAATGGTTCACTGTGAATTTAGTGAATTTGTGGATCTCCCTTCCAAACAAAGGCAAGGTTAAGTGTTTCACATGTATTTGTTTCTCAATTGGAAATGTAGTTCATTAAAAGGGAAGCTATGAGTGAGTTTAATCTCCTGCACGCAAAAACAAAGTGTTATGTCTAAAACTTCTGTTCCCTGAAGGAGATAAATGCAGTGTAGGGAATCATACCCCCCACATGTCCTGGCCGAAATTACTTCAATTCACACCCTTTAAGGCAGATGACCTCTAGTGTTGGGTGTATCAGATTCCCAACTAATGAGTTACTGTAATTGCATCCCATTTTACAGTAACACAGTAATGTAACGCATTACTGTACTAAATTCAGTAATTATATTAAGATTACAATTATGTTGTTTCTCGCATTACAAAGTTTCTTCAGTTATCTGTATTCTAAGTTGATTTTTATTCTCTTGGCTCTTGACGGAGGCAGTCGCACTTTCTCCCTCTCCCTCTCCCTTATCTTTCCTGCTTGGTTTCTCATGTCTTCTCATGTCTTGTATAGTTGTGCTTATTCTCTAACCCTAAGAGAGTCTCCCAGACTTGTTCTCTAAAAACCTAAAGAAGAATTATGGATTTGATTAACTGGTCCCTTAACGAAACTGACAAACTCGATGGTTGTTTGCGTCGTGTGTCTGGCGACACTCTCGATGGAGGACATTGAAGGACATCTACCAATTTGGAACCATGATAACAGAGTTCTGGCTGATTGGAACTGGCTCGGACCTGGCTTATCAAAGAACAAGAAGCGGCTACAGCTGTTCAAAATCCCACAAGGCTGGCCGACATAAAAGATGATGGGCAGGGCTGAGTCTAACTGTGTGGACCATCCCTCACCACCAGGGAATAGAAATTACAGACATAACACTTTGGTACTTTTGAGTCAGTTCACTTGGGCAAATACATATAGTAGCTGTACTTTTCTAATCACCACCTCAGCCTGTAATGCAAAGTCTTAATCACGAAAAATGGTGACATGTTTTTAGTTATCAATAGCCAAAGCTTTGTCCTAATTTGCATAGGAAAATGGCCTGGTAGTCTATCATAACCAAAAAATGTTCACCATTTTGAGTGTTTTAGGACTCTCATTACAGTCACAGTATATATTGAATTTGTTTGTTTTGTCAACTGACCAGAGAAAACTCAAAAAAGACTCACCAGTCTTTAGCTTTCAATAAACTAATATTAAACTACCCAATGAAAGCAATACAATGAAAATAGTGAGGAGAGTACACATTTTAAATCTTCATTTTAATCTATAACAAGAAAGACTGGACCTCATGCTGTATGTGACTACTGCTTGTGCACAGCAGTCAGCACAGGATTTCTTTTACTTACTTGCCAACATGCAGTCAAATGACATGTTGTGTTGCATGATTTCTTTTCACACTTCTTTTCACAGTCAAAAAAACCTGACCCAGTATATTTTAAATAGATCAATTCTAAATAGAACTGGTCTTATTTCCTCTTTATAAGTTCAGAGAGACAGCTGCCTTCTGAAGAGAGATTGGACAAAGATGAGATAAGATAACCTTTATTAGTCCCACTCGTAGGAAATTTGTTTTGTTACAGCAGTGAACAGTGCAAAGTTACATAGAAAAATTAGAAAAAAAAAACAAAACAGACAAACAAACACTGGAATAAGATACCAATAAGATACTGTACACAACTGTACACAATAGAATAGAATAAAATAAAATACTATATACAACTGAATAAAATAGAATACAAATGCTATATACAATTAAGTATAATACAACAATGCCAGAAAAGAGTATTCCACTTAGTGTTATTGCTATTGCACTTGTGTGGATGTGTGTGTTTGATCAGTTGAAGTTTTTGTTGTGGAGTCTGACAGCAGTGGGGAGGAAAGACCTCCGAAATCTCTCCGTCCCACATCATGGGTGCCGCAGCTTGCCACTGAAGGAGCTGCTCAGTGCTGTCAGAGTCTCCTGCATGGTGGGAGATGTTGTCCAACAGGGATGACAGCTTAGCCACCATTCTCCTGTCACTCACCACCTCCACTGGGTCCAGAGGGCATCCTAGAACAGAGCTGGCCCTTCTGATCAGCCTGTTCAGTCTCTTCCTGTCCCCTCCACAAAGCTTCACAAAGCTGTACTAGCACCCCATGGACTATTTGCTGTTACCCCTTCACTCATTACAACTGAATATCTTCCTGTTTATCTGTTCTGTTTAAACCAAGCTGAATTCAGTTTGAGCCCTCTCTTCCACACAGAAGGCATTACAGTTTTACTCAATCGCTTTGGCTCAATTCTCACACCAGAAAAGTCATTCGCACTAGTCTTAATGCAGTTCTCAAATCACTAACATATTTCCTCACCCACATAAGATATTCTCATAGAAATAACTACAATTCCGCTGCTACAGATGTTTGTCATTGTGTTGCATTTCTCACTTGCATCTGACAACTCATCAAAACAATTTTTACTTTTTTCAGTCACAGCTCTAGATCGGTCACTTTTCTGAATACTGTCCAGCATTACTTAAAACATTTTGTTCAAATATTCATGAAAGAGGAAGCACAGTAGCACAGTAGTATACTGTCAGAGATTTTCTTGCAACAAATAGAAAATTGAGTCTTGTGTCATAGCTTCTCATCTAAATTTGCCCTTCAAGCACATCCCAAGGACTCTTTACTGAGATCTGGTGACTGGAGGCCTGATGATTGCTGAATGTAACTTGAATGTAGACTGTATAAGTGTACATGGAACGCCATACATCTGTGCCGAGTATGGTCTGGAAATTGTCGAGATCCTCATTCATACTCTCCAGTCCATTGTTACTCAGGTGAAAAGAAACACTCTCAAGTCACAAACACTTGCGATGCTTTTATTTAAAACCTCTGCACAGAGGGAGATCATGCAACCTAAAACAGGATCTGGGGCAAGCTAGTAACTGTTGCTTCCTGTTTATCTTGCTGAGGCAGCTCCCCCTCCTCCTTTTACAACAGGCAGACCCCCACTGTCAATAAATTCCTCACTCTACACCGTTACACACCCAGGCTTATAACTAAACCAACCTAAAACATACACGCACAAAGAATAGAGCATTCATACCGACATGTTAATTCACATTCCTTTGAACAACTTAAATCCTTCATTCCACAAAATCCAGAGGTCAAAATGTCCCATTGTGTCTCTTCCCCCTAGGGTGGTTGAAAATGGATTGATGGATGGATGGAGATAAAAAATGCTGTGAAATCCCATATTAAATTTGGATATGTGGATACCCATAATGTGAAGGTGAATGTTAATGCTGATACCACATATTCATGTAGCACACACAAAGAACTCACAATATTTCTATTATACATTAAAGATGATATTTCCATATATATTTACTCAGGTTAAAACATTAAGAGTTAAATGTTCTTTCATTCTCATAAAGACAAAAGGCACATCTTCTGTTGTTACTGGCTAATTAATAACAAAATCAGTAAGGATCAAACACTTAAACATACTTACTGGTCAACAAATATTGAAATGGTAAATTTTCAAAGCATATAACATCAAGGCAAAGCACAAATTGGCCTTTCCCATATACTATGTTTTAAAAGAAATTTGAATTACAGAAAATAGAAAAACTGGAATATAATACTTAAGTTCAACAAGATAAAAATAGGACTAGGATCTTTTCATTTTCCTTGACTCTTATCTGAGACACATGACAGCTGATCTTCCACAGGCTACACATTGGCATATACTTGCTCAACTGAATCACTCTGCTTAAAAAAAAGAAAAAGTTGAATTCACTCCCTTCTTTCAAGCATACACAGAATGAATGAAGAAAACTTTACCAACCCCTGTGTTGCCATATACACTATCACTGTTGTGAAGGTCATTGCAGTGGACATTCTCATAGTCCCCGTTCCTGCAAAACAGATGTAAAAGTAAACAAGTTTTATTTTTGTTTTTCTATACAGAAATGAAATAAAAGCACACATCACATTTAATCATAATAATTATGAATGGTCTTATTTGTCTGTGAAGTGAGGTGAAAAATTAAAACCTTTTTGTTGGGGCAGAACTACGGAGCTCCACAGGTCCATCTGACCTCATGGTGCTCATGTCAGATGTTTGTGTTATTCCTGATTTTCCACTGCAGGCAGAAAAATGTTTTTTATTTAATTTACAATGTTACGAGAACAGCTGATACTTTTCACAGCCTCTGAAGTTAAACATTAGCTGCCAAGGCCTTAAAAAAAGCCTCTTCTTTTATAGTTGTCATTGTGATGTGATTTGACTCATATGCATCAAATATGGTTTGGTATTTCCTAGATTGCATGACTTAAATATACATCTTTATAAATGGTGTTCATTTGTTTTTCTTAGAATATCATATAATGTGCAGGTTTGTGTACTTACCCTTAATACCAAATTTCCCCTTGTGGGACAATTAATGGATTATTCTAATTACACCGGATATTTTGTTCAACAACTCACCATTTTTTAACTCCTACTCCTGTGGCTATCAAAATAATCAGCAAAATCACACCTGCTCCAGAGGCGATAAGAATATTTTGCATGTTGTCTGTCCCAAAAGAAAGAAAGGATACTGACTGTTTTTTGTCATGTAAATAATGTAATAGAATGATAATAATCTATGCAGTATTCCTTGGACTTAAAGATTTTCTTACCGTCAGATAATGAGAGCATGAGATTAGCATTTCCCAGAATGTTGTTTGCCAGGCAGTGCACAAACTTGAAGGACCCAAAGTCTGCCTGCAGAATCTCAGTAGTAACAGAGCCATTTTTTTCTACTTTGGTGCTTTGCAGCACTCTGTTACCAAGAACAAAGAGGGCCATGCTGGGAGACTCAGACTCTACGATGCACTCACACGTTGCTATACCATCGTATGAGGAGCACTTAGAAGAAGTCTTAATGTCAGGGGCATCTGGAAGGACAGCCATATTAAAGATAGCCATGTATTTATTATATATGTTTGATTTAAAATAATCTCTAAAATCTCTTTTGACATTGTGTTAGTTTGTCCCTTATACAGCAGAGCACCAGATCCATTGTTCCACTTGTAGCTGCTGACAGGATTAGCATCACTGGAGCACTTCAGGTGAACAGTCTCTCCCTGATTCACATCTGACTGGTACTCAGCCTTCATATTGACTGGAGCATCTGCATAGAAACATTTAGCTCTTCATGTTACTGTGCAGCATTTTGTGTTCTTTTACCTAGTGAGGTAAAAGTTTATGTCCTTTTAACATTCTGACATGATGGTGACACTAAAGCAAAACTTCAGGGAGTTGCCACTTAATGCTTAATGCTAACAGTAGTCATATTGAGGACGAATATGAATTCTCTGACAGTGAGTAAAACTAGTCTTGCAGAACCTGCAAAAAATAATAAATAAAATTCTTGGGAAACTCCATTTCAGTTTGGTGCAAAACTGAGTGTACCATGTAACAGTCTGGATTTAACCCAAATTCGGGCCAGATCACCAAATACAGACTCATCATCTGGTATGTATCTTGTGCACATCAGTAAAACACATCTGTACCGGTATTGGGAAGTTCTGCTAAAAGACACCGACTCAGGTCCGTTGTGCAGATCTAGTCCAGAACTTAAGATCAGGCCTGGATCTGTGCCATTTTTTTAATAATTTGTGTAAGGAGCGAAAGTGACTGGACTTCTTTAAGTTTCTTGAAGATGTTTCACCTTTCATCTGAGAAGCTTCTTCTGTTCTAAGACCAAATGGTGGAGAGTCTCAGGAATGTAATCCCTAGTTGTCCTTCAAGAGGGTCGTCCAGTGGTTTGCTTTCCAACCTCCTTAGATTACCATTACCTGGATCACTGACAATCTGCACAGACCTACTCTGTCACATTAGACACAGATTTGGTTTTACATTTCTTCTTCTTTTTGTGCTTGTACTTTCTATCCCTTATGAGAATGCTTTAATTTAGTCTTTCTAAATAGATTATGACACCATGTCTACGTAGGTTCTCAATCATCCAGGACATAGTAGTCTATAAATGCCAGAATAATAAATTACAGTGTTTGAAGGATTTTTTTAAAATTATCAGCATCTATTTATAATTAAATACTTACATTTTATTTTAATGATCTTCGATGTTTCCTGCTGCTTCCCACCATGGTATGTAACGGTGCATTGTAAAGGTTTGTTGTGATCAGTGCGGTTTGAGTGAAAGGTCAGAGTAGATGTTGAATTCCACTGGCCTTTATGAAGCTTCTGTGTTTGATCATGTTGGGCTCCAGAGTGACTCCAGTGGAAATCAGGTGGATATGTGGGGCAGGAGTGAGACACAGAGCAGGAAGCAGACACATTTTCACCCTCCTTTATCTCCTCTTTCATAGATAAACTGATGGGGTTTGGTTGATCTGTGTTAACAAGGTAAATCAAGAACATTATAATCACTTTAATGCAACATGGGGACCACTTAATGTACTGTGAAACTGATGTTATATTTTATAAAGCTTTGAATTCTGGACATTCTTTATTATGTTAACTATATGTATATAATTTCCTTATTTTTTAAATCATCCTGCTGATCTTTCCAACACCCATCATAGATGTATTACTAATAAATAAATATGGGGTGAAAGAATAGGAAGAAAAAGATTTTTTATTTTGTTTGAGTCTTATCCACAAAAAAATTATTCAGATTTGGTAAAAATATATATATATAAAATGAAAACAATGGGAGCTTCATTTGGTACAATTTTGTCGTTTCATGTCTACACGTGCTTTCCTGCTTTTGGAGCATTAGGGTGAAAAAATACATAAATAAACATGTCTGTATTTTTTTTTTTTTTGCCTTTTTTTTTGCCGTGTCTGTATGAACTGAAAACCTGTCTTTCAAGGTTATAGTTTTACACTTATGTAGTTATACACTTGTGAAGTAAGCCATAGAAACCAACACTGCTGCATGATATTGATATTAAAGTGCTGTTGAAGGTTGATTTGTAGTTTTGCACAAATGCATTATTATTATTAGTGTTATTGAAATGTGCACAGTAATTACTAACTTTTTACTTACCAGTCACTGAAATAACAACTTTTTTAGTTAAATAGGAAAACTTAGCGTATCCTTCAAGTTCTATCCTGAAATAAAAAGATCCCCCATCAGGTTCTTGAAGGTTTTGAATCATCAGAGAACAGTTCTTCTCTCTGATGTTTCCCACTAGGTTTGTTCGTCTCCCATATTGCTCCAGAATTTTAGATTCAGTTGCATGATAGATGACTTGGTCTCTCTCAGTGGTCTTCGAAATCCCTGTGAATATATTGACTTTTTGGTGTTCTCCAGCTGGGTAGTCATAAGAGCATGGGATGACCACACATGAGCCACGGAGACCTTTAACTGAGGATGGCACATCAGCGGTCCAAGATGAGGCTCTTGTTTGAGTAACTGTAACAAATTACACAACAAACAATGATGAAATGAAGTACACTCTATACAGTAATTCAGAGGCTTAGTAAATATCACTATAAATATAAGTTAGATGAGCCTGATAAAATCTATGCATATCCTTTTAGCAATTATTTGAGTTTGATAAGTTGAAATAAATGTCTAAAATGTTAACGCATGTGTTTGTGTTAAATTAAGGTATTTGTTTACATTTATCTCAGACAAAAAAATCAGTATGTGGTTCACAGAATATCTTCTTTGCATGTACTTAATATTTGTGTTTAAAATTGAATCAAAATCTTTGAGAAAGAGGTATCTATACTCATCAGTATCTTGTACTAAAATCATTAATTATTCAAATCAATATTATTTATTGTCAGCAACTACAACTGAAAAGTGTAAGTAAAACACAATAACGTAGAGTAATTGAGTACCATGAGCCTATTTAATTGTTTTGTTCATTTTGTTTTTTAAATACTCTGAGCTTTTGTGTTTGCTCTCCTGGTTTGCCATTGATCATTCAAGTATGTAAGGCTTGAGCTAAAAGGGAAAAGGCTCTTGTCTTTTTAGTGCTTGTTTATTTCGAGTTATTGCCATGTTCATGAAAATTTAATTTTCGTTTGGAAAAATGTTTAACATGTGGTCATTTTTCATACATGTATTATGAAACACAACTACATATTAGTTTGTTTGGTTTTTTAGACTTAGACTACCAGTGAAATACAATAACATTCATATTTGAATGTTAGGAGGTGATCGTGGCTCAAGAGTTGGCAGTTCGTCTTGTAATCAAAAGGTTGCCGGTTCGAGTGCCGACAGTCTCGGTCGACTACTGGTTGCCAACTACCTACTGGTGGTGGTCAGAGGGCCCGGTGGCGCCAGTGTCTGGCAGCCTCGCCTCTGTCAGTGCGCCCCAGAGCAGCTGTGGCTACAACGTAGCTTGCCATCAGCTGCTCTGGGAATGACTGAATGATACAAACGCATTCAGGATGACTGAATGTAAAGCGCTTGACAAATACAGGCCATTTACCATATTTAATATTAAGTACAATTTTGATTACATTCAGTTTACAATATTAAGTAAATGGAACAAAATTTTAGATTAACTGACCATCTATATTTCAGTTACATTGACCAAGCATGTCAGTGTTATTTACTCAATTTTTTCACGTTTGTGTAACAACTACAATTATTCATTTCAACTTAATATGTTTAAGCTTTAGTTATTCAATTGATCAAGTATATTGAACAGATTTGACTGGTTTCCAATCTACTCAGTATTTTTAAGTGTAAAAGTGTTGCCTCAAATTTTAAGTAAATGTCAGTTTTAGTTTTAGAGTGTACAGAAACAGGTAAACCAAGCAGACAAGGAAAGTGTAAATGCATAAAACAAAATACAAACTCCTCACAAAAACTGCTTGAAAAAAAAACACATTGTAGGATTTTTTTTTTTTTAAAGTAGACTTTTATATTTTAGAGTTTTTGTGTTGTACAGCTTATCCCTAAATATATACATTGTACAAACAGCATCATACCTTTGAAGCAACTGCATATGAAAAACAAAATCCACTCTGAAGGATTCATCTCTTCTTCTCTCTGCCACATCTAAAAGAAAGTGACACATATATGTTAGGGTGCTATTATTTCTTTGTGGTAAGAAGTGACTTGTTTAGTTTCCAATCAGCTTTAGTATGAACTTTAACAGGAAGAAAGTTTCAATATTGTTTCATATGTGGTACAATGGGGAAGTCTGTCTTATCAATCTTCATGGCAACATGTATCAAAATGCATTCATTTTCACCCATATCATTGTTTTATCAAAGGGGTATTATGAGATTAACAGAAGAACAGATAGGAGGTCTGAAACAAGATAAAACAAACAAATGAACAAACAAAAAACTGTTGATGCAGTAGAAGGCACTGTTTCCTTATAGCAGGGCCTTTGTCAGGGTTCCTGGGTCGGTGACGCAGTGTTTTCAGTTTTGCCACATCAATGTTTTCACTTCCTGTTTTTTTCCCCGTGTCAGCTTGTCTCTCGTGTCATTAGTCAGATTATGTTCAGCTCTGTACTCACCTGTTTCCAATCATTGTCATCATTCAACCTGTGTATTTAAGTTCCTCGGTTTCTCCAGTTCTTTGTCGTGTCATTGATGTTGATGTTCATGTGATGTTGTCCTTCCCGTGTGTTCTCTCAGTTCAGTCAGCCATTCAGTGATCCAGCCAGTCAGTGTCCGTTCACCCTCTGTTCATCCACTCCTTATAATAAACCTTCACCAGCCTTCACCTACCTGCGAGTCCTGCGTTTGGGTTCCTTCTTCCTCGTCTCCACACAACGCCTGACAGCCTTTCTGTGTGGTATGTTCTCTCCGTGTGTGTATGGGTTCTACGGCTTCATCCCACAGTCCAAAGACATGCACTTACTGGGGTCACGTTAACTGGTAATTCTAAAGACCACAGGTGTGAATATGAGTGTGAATGGTTGTCTGTCTCTCTATATTAGCCCTGTGACCTGTCCAGAGGTGCCTCTCTCCCTGTGGTAGCTGGGATGGGCTCCAGCTTTGATACCAGTGACTCATCATATTATAAAGCGCCTTGAGGCAACTGTTGTTGTGATTTGGAGCTATATAAATAAAATAAAATTGAACTGAATTACCTTCTGGCTGTCCCCCATAAACCAAAAACCTTCATGAGTTAGTTTAATTGGTGACTCTAAAACTGACCATGGGTGTGAATGTTAGCATGAATGGTTGTCTTCCTCTGGTTGTCATCCCTGCAACAGACTTTTAACCTTTTCAGGGTGTACCCTCCCTCTTGCCCTTTGATAGTTGGGATATGCTCCAGCTGCCAGAGATAGTGGATTACATGGGTGGAAGAAAATGGATCAGTTAAATTAAATAAAGAAAGCTCTTTAAGAATACATGCAAATTTAAGCACAAATAGCCTTGTGCTTCAAATACCTTTGAAGTTATCAAAGGTTCCTCCTGTCTCCTACACTCTTGTGCTCAGCTGTACTTTTCTAATCACCACTTGTGACTGTAAATAATGGTCAATGAAAATGGTAAATAGACTGGTTTCTACACAACGCTTTTCTGCTGTGAGCACTCAAAGCACACTACACAACTTGTCTCATTCACACAAGCATTTTTTCTTTAAGTGCTTTCTATCTAACATGAATACACACACATCCTTCCCTTGCCCAAGGATATTTGCCGACCAGAAAAATCAAACCACCAACCTCCCAATTAGCAGATGTCCTCCTCTACCACCAGGCCACTGTCTAGGTAATTTTGCTGTCATAGTTATTTATATTTTACTGTGGTTATCATTTTTTTTAATTTTTTTTTAAAAAGTCAATGATAGCTTTGATTGGGGTACCCATTGAAAACTGTGCAAACTGGAAAATTCCTGAATACTTGCATGCAAAGTGATGCAAATGCACAGTATTCTTTAAACAAGGCATGAATTACATTAATTTAATAATGGAAAAACAAATTTTAAATACACTTAGTATTTTTTTTTTTATCTCTAAGAAGAATGACTGAACCTTATATTATATGTGGCTATTGTTGGTGCAGAGCTGTCAAACCATGATTTTCTTTATTAGTTGGTGCCTATAGAGAGAGTCACATAACAAGTTGTCTTGTATGACTTCACACTTAAGTCTTCACACTCTTAATACAACTAACATGCCCAGGTTGACTGTTAATTGTTGTCATTTCCTCTTTACAAGTTGGTAGGAAAAACACTCTTGAGGAGAGATTCTTCACATACCTCACATAAAACGTCACTCATCACAACTGAGTATCTTCTTCCTAATATCTCTTTGGACATTTTTGAGGGTTGAAGAAATCAAAGTAGACTACAGGATAAAGAAAATACTACAGGAAGGTTAGCAAATACATATATGGCACTATATAAATAAAACTTAAAATAACTGAAGTGACAGAGTATGACAACATGTATAGCATATTAATATTTATATGTGCAACGGTATTTATGAATTATTGAATCTCATTTGGCGTTGTTTATTGGCTTTATGTCTGAAGAAACAAGACATACTGGCAATGTCATAATTTATTGATTGAACAAACAGGGCCCTCAGTAGCAAGTAAAAGAATTATACACAGCCACAAAAGCCTGGCACCTTCTCCAGCATGGTCACACACTGCTACAGGAGGGCATTCTTCAACCAGCATTTGTCACAACTTGGACTTCAGGCATCTGTAACCAAACATAGAAAAATGGTGGTGGAGGAGGTGCGTCGACAGGAGGAAACAGCCAGACATGCCAGAGCCGTAGCGCTGGCCAAGCAGGGCCGCTGGATGAATTGGGAGACTGTTGAAAAGAGGAAACTCTCATGGAGTGAAATCTGGGAAATGGAGTCTAATAGAGTAAGTTTCATCAACCGAGCGGCATGCGATGTGCTGCTTTCCCCAAAACTTGCATACATCATTGAGCTGATGGTACCATGGAAGGAACTGAGGAAGCATTTGAGTGTAAGAAGCTGCGGCATGCCAACTTGGCAGCTGAGGCAGAGGACAGTGTTGTGTTCTGTAATGTTTATATCATATTGCACCACTAGAGCGTGGTGTCGCAAAATAAGAGTAAAGCGGAGTCGGTAAAGGTTTAGAGTTAGAATATAGTTAGATGGCTAGCTGATAACTGATGTGTGTCACTGCTACCTCTTTGATGTTAGTCTGTGCTGAATTCATTAAAGAGCACTGTTCTTCATGAGGACTGGTTTATTACCGGCCGCTACTACACAGAGGCTGGAAGATTATGGTGCGACCAGTGGAAGTGGGGTGCAGGGGCTTCATTGCCAGTACAACAGCAAAACTGCTTAGAGAGATTGGGATCTGAGGACAGGCGCAATGGCAGGCTATAAGAGAATTAGCTAACACTGCTGAGAGGACCAGTCACTGGCTATGGCTAAAAAGGGCTGACATCACTTGGGCAGCTAAGGCAGTCAGCTAACCCTGAGAGAAAAGAAAATATTCCGC